GTGAACCGAGAACATGACTGAGATATTAAAGCTCTTCTCGCAAGAGCCTAGGCGGAAAAGGGAGAGTTTAGGTTGGCAAGCTACTAGACGATGATGACCTCCTACATCGTCTGCCACTCCTGCTACTCATGTTCGGGAGGGGGAGGGGTCAGACAGGCAGAGGACGTGCGTCGACTTGACAATATATTACATCAAGTCCGTGCCAAGTCCCTCTAAATATCGTTTCCGAGTATTTTTATGACGTTGAACGTCGGCTACGTTATGACACTTTTTTTTCGGATCGCAGTATTTTATTTCGGACGATGAAAGGAAAAAGAGAAATTTACAGTCTCTGCATCTCAACGCTTTGCGCTTTTTGATAACTGCCGTCTGATTATTTGCTCACAGACAGATATCTCGCGTCTTATTTTATACTTTCAAATTTATTTTTTCGTATAAAACGTTCGATCGTGTTTCTAAAAAAAAACAATAAATAAATACATTTTTATTTGCCGAAATCCACATTAATGGAGAGACAAAATAGCAAGGATCGAGTAATAAAATTAAAGTTAAATTACTGATAGTGAAAACGGTAATTATAATTACTTACAGCCATCAGAATACAGATTAGTGAAAATTGATTATTAAAATTGATGATATACCTAAGTAAGATACATTTTTTAAAATATTTTTAAAATTCTATTCGTATTTTTTTTAACCGTAGATGATACACATTAAGATCCCTGAGACCACAGCGCAATTTTCGATTTGGCATTTTAGCGTTTCCGGATTTTTTTTTTAACCCGTTATGCAATTCGAAGCTCTTTCATTCTATCAATTTTTAATTTTCAATTTTTCTTTTATAAATTATATGAGCCTGTTTTGTTTATGAATTTTTTATTGACTAAAAAAAAAATTAATTAAAATGCGTCTATTTTTGCTGGAGTTACGATAATAAAATATAGATGGGATTCCCGGAATCCCAGTATATATATATATATACTTTACATGGGCAAAAAAGCAGTGTGCATAATAGAATTAAGTAACACGTCTGTTGTATAATTGCTAATTTTTTCGATTATACAACAAGTTACGATGCTCTCGAGATAATATAGCTCGTTGATATTCCGTGAAAATTAGCCTGGCTAAAATTGGAAGCAACAGTTTGTCGGCAGACGAGTTAATCGTCTTCGCATCCTCCTCGAGACGTTTTCAAGGTCGAAGCTGTCTGATAGTATCCGAGAGCGGGCGCTCTCAATTTTCCCTTTCTCTCTCGTCAGGGGGGGTACAAGCAACCCCCGGGGGAGGGGGGGGATGCCTCAAAAAGAATGAAGACGCGCGGTGAGAGAGCTACCCTAATGACCATCGTGTAGCGACGAAGGTTAACTACGCGGTTCATCCTCCTGCGATCGATATCCCACGTTCTTGTGCGTCTCATCCTCTCTCATTCTGAGATCCCATCGGAGCCGGTAGCACTCGATCACGAGGTATTAAAGCTTGATTGATCGATGCATCTTTTTTCTTGCTCAATCCCGGCCTGAGTCACGCGAGACCTGAAATGCGTTCCCGAATACAAAGCTATAGTTAAGATTAATCGTACACGAGCGAAATTATTCTCGTTCCAAGAAAGGGCATCATTCTCAGCATCGCTATGAATTAGTTTCGGCAAAAAACAGTATGATAATTTATCAGAGAGAGAGAGAGAGAGAGAGAGAGAGGATTAAAGTTATTAAAAATACATCACAGAATCGATGTAATTTTAATTATGTCGTAGAACTCGTTTCGAGAATTATGCTGAAATGATATGAAAATAAAAATCGTGTTGTATATAAATTGCATTACGATAACGAACACGAATGAGGGAAGAGAAAAAGACAAATTCGCAATACTTTTAATGACTGCAAAACGTTTCGCCAGCTGAGGTAAATGTACAACCGATTATACATCGTTAGGTAGCAGTGTCGCAAGCTAATATCGTTCATTAACGAAGCGGGGATTAGAACGCGTTATCAAGCTTCACTTCGCGAAAGCCATCGACAAATTAAGAGCAGATTTACCTTGAGATATCGATGAGGGATGTTGCTGCGGAAGTTAACCGGGAGAAGTAATCGCTCGTTACGTGTAACGAACTGGTGAAATTGGAAACTTGATAAAGCGGCGATGCGGATCGTCGACGATTGGTTATCCGCACGAGAGGAGGACCGTCGTCGTCGCAGAGCGCAACGTTGCGTTTGCCGAT